TATTGTATTGTATTGTATTGTATTGTATTGTATTGTATTGTATTGTACTCTATTCTATTCTATTCTATTCTATTCTATTCTATTCTATTCTACCATGTTCCCCATTACATTCCAAGCCCCAGAGGCCCTGGTGGTTTACAGAACAAAATATTATCAATGCTGTTCTATCTACAACAGGTTTAAGCAGAGCAATACAAGTATGAGTTAATGGATGTCCCACTTTTCAAGCAAGGATACATTTACTTCACACAAGAGTGTGCTCAGAAAAATTCCAAGCTGGTCGTTGCCTAACTCCAACTAAAAGTAAAAGCTGCAGGGGGTTACCTGTCAATTTAAAGAGTAATATCGCTATCACAGCATCAAGTTTTCAGCTGAGAATAGTAGTATTCATGCAGCTCAGTTAAAGTTACCATAACTGAACTGTAAAAGAACCAAGTGACCACTAGATGGCCACAGAGAGATTTTTAAAAATGGTAATGCTTTTCTGCCACCTAAGGGTTGTTCAGAATATTACCGGTCAGATAGGTCTAAAATCTACTTTGTTTTTATGACAATCCTATCTAAAAACACTAGAGAATTCCCGGAAGCCCGGCACTCTGACAAATTGGCTATCAAAAGACACAAAGACACTATCAACATCCACGTACTGTGAAAAAGACACAATCAACAAGCCAAAAAGGAAAAGACCAAATATCTTCCCACCATCAATCAACACCCAGATGAGCATAGATTAACACCAAGATTAACATCAGACCAACAATCAAGAAGTAAACAGTATCCCAATCAAGGAACTGCCAAGCAAGACAACAATACAGCCCCACCAAAGAAACTCCAAGACCACTCCCACCAACACTGACAGGGCAAGCCACCAGAATATAAACTGAGAGAAAACCCCACTCCCTACTAATACTCATCATGTTACCTAGTTCGGTAATGAAATGTCTGCAAAAAAAACAACCAAGGTCAGAGAACAACAAGGAATCCTCAAAAACCACTTGATTGGATGTGCAGAATGGATTCTAGTTCACAGTCAGTTACACAGGCATTTAAAACAAGGATTGGCCATCCAGATGTGAAACTCAGCTACATATCTGGAGCTCTCTGTGTAACCAAGCCACAACTCGACAGCTCGGTAAGGTTTTCATCAGCACAATTTGGATCTGATTTTTGATCAAACAAACCCTAAAGGAGGTGAGAAGAAAAACTGAAAGTACACATGTAAACTGGATGAAACCAGGCTTAGTAGCAGTAATTGTGAAAGAGACCTTGGAGTCTTAGTGTACAATCAATTAAATATGAGCCAACAGTGTGCGGCAGCAGCCAAAAAAGCCAATGTAAACCTAAATTGCATTAACAGAAGGATACAATCAAGATCAAGTGAGGTACTAATACCACTCTATAAAGTCTTAGTAAGGCCACACTTAGAATACTGCATCTGGTTTTGGTCATCACACTATAAAAAGATGTTGAGACTCTAGAAAGAGTGCAGATAAGAGCAACCAGGATGAATAGGGGACTGCAGACTAAAACATGTGAAGAACGGTTACAGTAACTGGGCCTGGCTAGTCTAGTGAAGAGAAGGACCAGGGGAGACATGATAGCAGCCTTCCAATATTTGAGGGGCTGCCACAGAGAGGAAGGGGACAAGCTATTTTCCAAAGCACCTGAAGGCCAGACAAGGAATCATGGATGGAAACGGATCAAGTAGAAATTCAATCTGGAAATAAGGAGGAATTTTCTTACGGTGAGAACAATCAACCCATGGAGAAGAAGTTGCCTTCAGAAGTTCATCACCGGAGGCTTTCAAGAAGAGATTGGACTGCCATCGATCAGAAATGGTGAAGGGTCTCCACCTTGGGCAGGGGGTTGGACTAGATGACCTATAACCGTGATGGTACACATGCTGGAAGTAGCACGCAGAGCCATTTCTGCTGGCACGCAAGAGGTCACCTGGAAGAGCCCCAGTGCACATGCATGCGCCCGACAGCTGATTGTTGGGTATCTGGCATGCATGCGCAGGGTGTGGGGATGCGTGGGAGACGCTCACAGCAGAGGTGGTATTCAGCAGGTTCTGACCAGTTCTGGAGAACTGGTAGGGGAAATTTTGAGTAATTCGGAAGACCGGCAAATCCCACCTCTGACTGGAGATTTTACAGTATCGTTCCCCTGCCACACCCACCAAGCCATGCCCACAGAACTGGTAGTAAAAAAATTTGAATCCCACCACTGGCACACACATGTGCAGAGTTGCACGGTGCACAGGGGGCTTTACACTTAAAGAAACCACAGCGTTCATTTAACACAGATTTATAATCCAATCTAAAAGTGCACTCAGGAATGGCTCAGAAAAAGACAAGTTTGAACACTTTATTATTAGTACAAGGAGATATCAAAATAGAAGTGCCAATTTGAGTTAAAGTGCATCTACCAAACTAATTCATCTTCTGTTGTTCCTTTATTTGCAGTATGGAAATCCAAGAAAGCATTATGAGATTATTTATTTGGTATTGAACAGAAAGCAACAAAAAGAAAGTTTTTATTTATCTATATATCTATTTACAAAGTAGAATTATCCAGATTTTTTTTTTTTTGGGGGGGGGGGAAACCCCATTTATGTTTGCCAAAGATCAAAAATCTCATTCTGCAATTCGTAGAAACAATTGAAAAAATAATTTGTTCCTTTTCGGTCAACCCCCTATGATATTTTCTTAAAACAGTACAGAAATCGGGTTTTTAAAAAAAATCTCTTCCTGAAAGGAAAATAAGATGAGTTCATTGTACCATAAGTAGTGATCTATCTTTCAAATAACATTCAGAAGAACAGAACTGAAGCAGCTGGAATCAAAACTCAAACAGAATCTAATGTTGGATAAAGAAACAAAAATTAAGTCAATTCATTATCAAGTAGTTCATTTGGAAGTAAATGAATCTTAGAAGAAGATGAATTTTCTTAAGCATAAGTATTTTGAGAAAAAATAATGAGTCACACAAATTGTTGGCCTATCAACTATGTATTTATTTTTTTAAAAATTAAACCACCCCATATTCAAAGTTTTCTGAGTAGTTCACAATAAACACATTAAAATGCCCCCCAAAATTAGAACTATCACTTCAGATTGGAACAGAAAGAATTATATTTCAGCTTCAGAAGAGATGATAAATCAGTTTGTTAAATACTATTCTCAACTGTATGGAGAACAGATGCCAAGTTTGTAAAAGATTATAGAGTATTTGGATACAACACTAGATTATGAAATTTACAGATCACCAAAAGGAATTACTGAAGATGAAATGAAGGAAACAAAATTGCATAAATTCCCAGAACCAATATTTGGCATAACACTGTAAGATTTTCAAAGAAATTTCCATGGGGACTATTAATTCAGATAATGAATAATATACGATGATGGCAAATAGTTCCTTCTTAGTGGCCCAATGCTTTCAAAATTTGACTTTACAAGGAAAATAATCCAATCTATTCAGAATCTTATAAGCCTATTATTTTATTGAATATATAGGAAACCACAGACCATCCTCGATTTATAACCACAATTGAGTCCAACATTTTCTGTGGCTAAGTTAGACAGTTTTTACGTGAGTTTTGCCACATTTGCTAAGTGAATCACTCTTATTGCATAATTAGTAACATGACTGTTTAACGAATCTGAATTCCACACTGACTTTGTCAATAAGTTGCAAGAGGAGATCGAACAACCGAGAACAATTAATCAGTGGAACAAGTTGTCTGCAGAAGTTGTGGGTGTTTCTAAGAAGAAATTGGACAACCATTCGTCTGAAAAGGCAGTGAGGGCGAACCTTTTTGCTGTGCTGTGCCAAAAGCATGCGCGTGCTGACACACCCACAATGCAATGCACCCCAACCCCCTGGGCATGTGCATGCCACACCCCCGCCCCACCCCCTTACCTGCATTGCGCATGCACGCACCTCCCCGCTGATTTCCAGCCTGTTTGAGGCTGTTTTCGCCCTCCCAGAGGCTCGAGGGAAGCCTCTACAGCCTTGGGAGGCCAAAAAACGGGCCTTCCGGAAATACCGGAAGTGCCAAAACGGGCCCATTTTCAGCCTCCCAAGGCTCCAGAGGCTTCCTCCAAGCCTCTGGGAGTCACACACGTGCCCAGTGCAGGTAAGTTTGGCTGGGGTTTGCGTGCCCGCACAAATGGCTCCGCGTGCCACCTGTGACACACATGCCATCACAGGTATAGGGTTTCCTGCTTGAGCAGAAGGTTGGACTAGAAGACCTCTCAGGTCCCTTCCAACGCTGTCATTCCGTTTCAAAAGAACTGTAGAAATGCTATGATACAAATAGAAGTGCTCAGTATAAGAGATCGCATAATTATAAACAGCTTATCAAAACTGTGGGATAAATGCAAAAGAAAAATAAGCCCAAGTTTCAACGTCTCTTGCTCAAAACATTATTTTCATGAAAGGTAACATGGTAGAAGATTGATTGGCAGGGGTAATGATTCCTATAGACTGCAAGATTTAACACTTAATCAAACCAAGATTAAATCTTTGGAGACTCCCTGCTAGGAGTGCCCCGAAACACCTCATTACTTTCAATATCTTCAAATAGGTAGTTCGAAAGGAGCTAAAAACATAAGAAGGCAAATGGAGAGGTTTTATCATATTTTAAAAACTTATAAAAACAAAACTCAGAACATCTGCCAGGGCTCCTACCTAATTGCTATTAAAATCCAACTCAAAAACCAAAGGAGAGAAGGGCTGGAGGATTAAAGGAATGCAGAATCGAAATAGGACAAATTAATGCATAAGTATTAACACTATCAATGAAAGATAAATACTAATTCTCCACAAGGTGATGTGAAGGTCTTTCCAGTGTTGACTATCCTACGATATTATGCATATGATTAAGAATCATGGCTATCATTTGTGAATAACAGCACCCATGGTTTAGCAGTCTCTAAACTTGGAGGCTTTAAGACCTGCGGACTTCAATTCCCAGAATTCACGCAGTTGAAGTCCAAAAGTCCTAAATGTGTCAAGTTTGGAGACACCCGCTCTAGCAAATTCACGGTACCTTAAGCGTGTTGTACAAATCCAGCCATCTTAGCAGACGCGTGAATCCAGGATAAATAAATTCAACAGTAATCCTCCCACAAGCCCCATTGCAAGAAAACAAAGCAGGGAAGATGGGAAATTTGAGGCCATGTGGATCTATGGAAGTTTGTGCATAAAATCCCAAATCCAAGTTAGTGTTTTCTAATCGTGGCATCCAAGCCAAGAGTTCGCCCAATCAATCAGAATGGAACTCGAAGGTTTTCTAGATCAACCACCTGCTCAAGCAGCAAAACCTATACCATTTTAGACAAGTGGCTGTCCAGTCTCTTCTTAAAAACCTACAGTGACAAAGCACCCACAACTTCTGAACACAAGCGGTTCCACTGGTTGATTGTCCTCACAATTATGAAGTTTCTCTTTAGTTCCAGGGTGCTTCTGTGCACTTTTTCCAAACCGTCCTATGACTGACTCACACCTCTACAAACGCATAGCTAAATTTTTGCAGGACAAAATATCTCTGTCATAAAATTCTGGGATGCATCTGCTCCTCTTAATGGACATCTTAATCAAAGCCCTAAATTCTTTATACCCCTTTGGGTTAATTTTATCACTGTTGATTCATCACTCAACCGTGGTAGCTAAAAAGTATGCGCTTCGCTCATCTCCCCATTCACATGTATGTAATAAAGGTAAAGGTTCCCCTCGCACATACGTGCTAGTCGTTTCAGGCTCTAGGGGGCGGTGCTCATCTCCGTTACAAAGCCGAAGAGCCAGCGCTGTCCGAAGGCATCTCTGTGGTCATGTGACCGGCATGACTGAACGCCAAAGGCGCATGGAACGCTGTTCCCTTCCCACCAAAGTGGTCCCTATTTTTCTACTTGCATTTTTTTACATGCTTTCGAACTGCCAGGTTGGCAGAAGCTGGGAGCAGTAACGGGAGCTCAGTCCGTTACACAGCGCTAGGGATTCGAACTGCCGAACTGCGGACCTTTCCAATCGACGAGCTCAGAGTCTTAGCCAATGAGCCACTGCGTCCCCTGTAATACACACTATTATTTCCAGGAAGCACAGAAACATTTTTTTTTTCTGTTTACATTATTATTTTCCAGGTCTCCATTTTTTCTCTCCTCCTCCACCTCATTTTTTTAGGATAAGGGTAACTCATTCTTGTTACACAGGGAGTCCTTAACTTACAACCACAATTGAGCCCGAAATTGATGTTGCTAAGTCAGAAATTGGCTAAGTGAATTTTGCTCCATTTTACGACCTCACTTGCCATAATTGTTAAGTGAATCACATCAGTGATAAAGTTAGTAACCCGGTTGTTAAGTGAATCTGGCTTCCCCACACATTGACTTCGCTTGTAATACAGTCAGTCACAAAAGGGGTTCACAAGATCTTGGGACAATACAACCGTCATAAATATGAAACTGTTGCCAAGCATCCAAATTTGGATCACATGGGGATGCTGCAATGGTCGTTAAGTGTGAAAAACGGTCCAAAGTGCCTTTGTAACTTCGAATGGTCACTAAATGAACTGTTGTAAGTCGAGGAGTACCTGTATTCTGCCCTTAATACTATTATATGTATTTATACTTTTCTTTTGCTAATTAGGTTAATGTAACCTTTTTAAAATTAAAATGAGGAAGCCAGAATGGGTCTTCCTGAGACAATAACCCTCTGAGCGCATGGACATTTTTGTCGCTTTCAATTGACATGGTTTTCTCACCTCCAACTCCCTACAAATTACAAGCTGGCGAAAAGATGAAAAACACTTTGAGGGAGATACCCCTGGGGACAGAGTGACTGTACCCAGCAATTTCTGGAAAGAGATAATAGTTTAACGCCGCATGAATATTTCCTTTGAAGTGAGTCCTTTAAATGACTTCTAAGTAAATAAGTATAACACTGGGTGTATTAGGTCTGCAACGTTGGATTGGAACGTACAACTGTTTTCACTGTGTTTATTTATTTATATGTAACCCACCGTTATTATTTTTACAAATAACTCAAGGTGGCAAACCTATCCAATGCTCCTTTGACCTATTTTCCCCAGAGCAACAACTCTGTGAGGTAAGCTGGGCTGAGAGAAAGTCACTCAAGCTGGCTTTCATGGCTAAGGCGGGACTAGAACTCACAGCCTCCTAGCGACTGGCCCAAAGTTACCCAGCTGGCTTTCATGGCTAAGGTGGGACTAGAATTCACTGTCTCCTGGTGATTGGCCCAAAGTCACTCAGCTGGCTTTCATGGCTCAGGTGGGACTAGAATTCACGGTTCTAGTCTGGTGCTTAACCACTGGACCAAACTGGTCCCAAACCATGTAAGATTTTAGTTTTATAACCAGTACCTTGAAACACAAGAAGAAACATCAGCCTACGTAGCCCTTATTATACAAGGATAACATGGCAGTAATGTTTCTGCCCATTGACATACTGTATGAGCAACCACAATCAACTTATTTACTTCCCACCCTTATTATTTTTATACACAACTCAAGGTAGTCAATGCATCCAATACTCCTCCTTCGTTCTCCTACTTTCCCCACAACAAAGACTCTGTGAGGTGAGTTGGGCTGAGAGAGAGCGACCAGCTCAAAGTCACTCAGTTGGCTTTCATGTCTAAGGCAGGACTAGAACTCTCTGTCTCCTGGTTATTGGCCCAAGGTCGTTCAGCCGGCTTTCATGCCTAAAGCGGAACTAGAACTCAGGGTCTTCGGGTGATTGGCCCAAAGTCACCTAAATGGTTTTCAAGTCTAGAACTCTAGTTTTCTGGTTTGGTGCCTCAACCGCTAAGCCAAACTGGTTCTATTAGCTCCAACATGACCAACAGTCAAGGATTATGGCCATTATCCTCTCAATGTTGTTGGGCACCAATTAAGCATTCCCAGCACAACCTCAGAGGTCTTACCTTTAGATCAATCTTGATGCGGAAGAGTATGTTCTGAAAGTGGTACCCATCGCTGACTTGCAGAACCGCCGTGTCTTCCATCCTGTTAGACCCATCATGAATATAACGCACGAATCCTCCTGAAAGTTCACCAAGGCTGAACGCATGCAGGGTCAAAGGGCCATTTTCTGAAAGCTTGACCAATTGTCCATGTTTTGGAGGATCTAAAATGGTCACCATCACGTCTTGAGGATTATCTCTATCCTGCACATCAAGCAAGTGCTTGGTAATGGTTCCAGCATCTCCTTGGCTAATGGAGAGGACTTCATTCTTGAGGACATAAGGAGGCTGAAATAGAATGACAACCACAACAACAAAAAAATCAACTCCTGAGTTGCTGGTACAAGTTGTCCTCAACTTACAACTGGTCACTTAGTGACTGTTCACAGTTACAACAGACCCAACCCACCCACCCCCCAAAAATATTTAAGCTGTATTTAAAGTTCCACTGGCACCCCCCTCCTTCATGGTGTAGATCAGGGGTCCCCAACCACCGGGCCGCGGACTGGTACCGGTCCGTGGAACATTTCCTACCGGGCCGCCGGTTTGCTGGGTGCCGCCATCTTGTTTTGACGAGAAAGTGCTTCCGGGTGAGCTTTTCCGGTTGGAAAGCGGCGTTTGGGTCCTGAAGGAATCCTCGTGCCTTAGTTTCATCGAAGGGGGGGGGGGGCTTCGAACGAAACTAAGGCGCGAAGATTCTTTCAGCACCCAAGGAAAGGCGAGCCGAGCAACCGTCCCAAAGCCGTCCCAAAGCGAAGCCCATCGACAAAGGTACAAAGGAGGAGTTGAAGGTGGCGGGGAAAAGCGGGGGACGGCTGGCTGGCCAGTCGCTCGGCTCGCCTTGCCTTGTCATGCGTGCTGATGCTGGTACCGGGCCGTGGATCATTTTGTGATGCTGGTACCGGGCCGTGGCACAAAAAAGGTTGGGGGACACTGGTGTAGATGATTGCATTTGGGGCACTTGGCAAACAGACGGCATGTATTGTGATTTGCGATCAAGTGACGGTGATTTTTTGTTACAAACCAGTTTCCAGTGAAAAATGGAAAAAAAACTTGCAGCGTCCACTTAACAACTGTGGCTTTAGTTTAATGACCACCACTTTTGCTTAACGAGTGTCACGTTAACTTAAGAACCACCGCAAAAAATGTTGTAAACTTAGGTGGATCACGTGGATGACTCAACTTATAACTATTATGATATACAATGGAAATTCTGGGATCTATTATGGTCGTAAATCAAGGAACGCTTGTAGTACAATGTATCTTCTCTGCTTTAGAATACAGAGTTTTTAATTTTTTTTTAAGTTGCTCTAGCAATGACTGTGGTGACGCAGTGGTTAGGGTGCAGTACTGCAGGCTAATTCTGCTGACTGCCGGCTGCCTGCAATTTGGCTTTTAAAATCTAACCAGGCTTAAGGTTGACTCAGTCTTCCCTCCTTCCGAGGTGGATAAAATGAGGAGTCAGATTGCTGGGGGCAAAAGGCTGACTCCATAAACCTCTTAGAGAGGGCTCTAAAGCACTATAAAGCGGTGTATAAGTCTAAGTGCTATTGCTATTTGGGCACAATGATGCAAATTTTCTTGAGAGCAGTACAGAAGTTATTTGTTTTCGGGAATGTTTTTCAATTCTGCACATTCGCCTAAATGATACATCAAATCCCAGTTGTGCAGGTACGACTTCCTCAGCTTCGCAAACTAGAACACCCATTTGTGCGCCTGTGGTTGGCACACATTCTTACAAACACGCGTGCGTTTTCAGAGAGTGGAACTCTTTCAAATTATAAACCGGGTCTACTGAGAAGACCAGAAGCAATGGGTGGAAACTAACCAAGGAGAGAACCAACTTAGAACTATGGAGAAATTTCCTGACAGTGAGAAGAATTAATCAGTGGAACAACTTGCCTCCAGAAGTTGTGGGTGGAACACTGGAAGTTTTTAAAAAGAGATTGGACAACGATTTTCTGAAATAATATAGGGTCTCCTGCTTGAGTAGTGTGTTTGACTAAAAGGTCTACCCGCACCCGATTCTCCACGAAGTATGGTAGCCAGATTTACATCAGTGGGTGGTGATCTCTTTCAATTTCTCACCTCCCGACCCAAGAAAAATTCACAATAATCTGGAATGAACCCTTCAAATGATCTGTCACCAGCAAAGTTTTAAGAGGTTCCAGCATTCCAGTTTGAGAATTTTGAGAGGTTTTTTTTTTCCTGGCTTCTGCTAAACCTGATTTTTTTTTAAAAAAACAAAACTTAAATGAGGCTTGAGGAACTAAATGTGTTTAAATCTAAGAGCTAGCAAATGACCTCATTCGGTGAAATGTACAAGTGTTTCTTCCCACAGGTTTTTCAAAAAGAATGAGTCAGCTTCTTCAGATAGACACTGAGGGTTATCAGGTCTCACTGTACAAATATGAATCTTCCTTCAAGCTCTCCAGAGTTTTAAAGACAATGTGTGGGCAGATTATGGAGACATGGTGGTCAAGTTAGCATTTGGGAGATAAAAATGCCCCAATGAGGCATCTAAACCCAAGAAGATGAATTCATCCAGGTTAAACTAGGGAAGTTGTCTAGATCAGGGGTCTCCAACCTTGGCAACTTTAAGACTTGTGGACTTCAATTCCCAGAATTCCTCAGTCAGCTTTGCTGAGGAATTCTGGGAGTTGAAGTCCATAGGTCTTAAAGTTGCCTAGGTTGGAGACCCCTGGTCTAAATGGATTGGTTTGTCTACTCTGTGGAGATTTTCAATCACCCAGGTTATGGTTGTCCCGAAGGCGCTTTTTTCAAGTGGCAACTGACTTTCTGGTTTTTCTTTGAAGACGTTTCACTTCTTCATCTAAGAAGCTTCTTCAGCTCTGACTGGATGGTGGGGAACGGAAGGACTTAATATTCAAGGCACTCTGAGGACACAGACAAACCTCCAAGTGGCCTCAACAACTCTCTAAAAGAACGCAAAAAAAAAAAAATAATAAAAACTTTAGGGTAAACACCCTTTGAATGGTGCGGGAGTATGAACGGATTTCTAGAAAAATTGCAGACTACAGGAACCATGAGTGTTTCAGTTTGAGATGCGGACAACATAGATTCGTCACCAGCAGCAGAAAACATCCTGCAGAAAGCACAGCTCCACAACAGTCCTATCAACAGTTCCAAGAAGGCTCCACACCCATTTGCACCCACTCAGGTGACCCTGAGAACACGGATAAACCTCCAAATGGCCTCAATGACTCTCCAAAAGGATGCAAATGACCAACTGTCTGCAAGGAGTATAAATCCTTCCATCCCCCAGCATCCAGTCAGAGCTGAAGAAGCTTCTTGGACGAGAAGCGAAACGCCTTTAAAGAAAACACAGGAAGGTCCGTTGCTTCTTGAAAAAGCATTTTTGGGATGGACTGGTTTGGCTCACAAAAACTGTCTGTTATTTTTTGTTTTTAAGATGGGCCTAAAGAACCTCCCTGCCTGGCCTTTAGTGGGGCATGGCAAATTTAGAAAGCAGAGGCATTGGGCACTGCCAATCCAGAAGCCTCAGGGACTAAGGTGAGGGTGTTATCTCCTCCAGCAGAACAAAGCAAGAGAAGGTGTGATGTTTCCCCAAATATAGTGTGTGGACAACCATTTGTCTGGAATGGTATAGGGCAGTGATGGCTAACCTTTTGGGGCTCCTGTGCCCCAAATTGTGTGCACGCTTCTGCACTTGCGCTTGTGTGCCAGCACCCAGAAGGCAATGCATACACCACCCCAATCACCCCCCGCCCCCTTACCTGCACTGCGCCTCCCAGCTGATTTTCGGCCCGCTTGAGGCCTTTTTTAGCCTCCCAGAGGCTTGAGGAAAGCTTCTGCAGGCCAAAAAATGGGCCTGTTTCATCACTTCCGGTATTTCCAGAAATACAGGAAATGACAAAATGGGCCTATTTTTCAGCCTGCAAAAGACTTTCCTCAAGCCTCTGGGAGGCCGAAAAGGGCCTCAAAAAGGCCAAAAATCAGCTGTGAGGTACACGCATGTGCAGTGAGGTAAGTTTGCCTGCGGTTCGCGTGCTGGCACAAATGGCTCTGCATGCCACCTGTGGCACGCGTGCCATAGGTTCGCCATCTCGGGTATAGGGTCTCCTGCTTGAGCAGGGGGTTGGACTAGAAGACCTCTAAGGTCCCTTCCAACTCTGTTATTCTTGTCCTTACTAAATAATAACACCCACTTGATTTGGTTTTGATTTACTATGTATAGTGAACTTTAAACTGCCCTTTGTAAGCTGTGGCTTATGGCTTAGTAAGATGCCCCAATCCTGTCATCTGTAGTTTCCAAAAAAGAGAACAGCAGCTCAATCCCTCATGACCTAATCAGGGTTGCGCTGCAGTGTGTTCTGGAGGGGGTGACCTTGAAGAGGATCCAGAAAGTGTCATTGGTGCAAAATACAGATTGGCATATGACATTGCCAGCCACAAATTACACCTGTGCCCAGAGCTTCACAGTGATGGCTACATTAGATTGCAGCTAATTCCAGAAGGGATTTGATGTCCTGGTTTTGACTGTAAAGCTCTATGTGACTTGATGCCCATATACAGGTAATCATCAACTAACAGACACACATGTAAGTCTGCAAAACTATGGATTTTTTAAATGCTTTTTTTTTTTTGCTTTAAATATATGCCAGTATGGGACATCAATCAAACAAGTAGGAAATCCATATATTTCCATCTCAGTGTTACTGGACTCTCGCACACAAGCAGAGAAATATTGCCAATATACTGTACAGTTCTCCCCTCTCTCACCCCGCCCAGCCTGTTCAAAAATATAACCACCCATCCTCTAACTTACCTGGGTTGAAAAAGCTCGAACGGTGAACATTACTGGCTCCGATGTGGACTCTTGATAGCTGAGCGTCAGGAAAAACAAGCCATCCCTAGAGGAAGCCCCAAAACGGTATTATATATTGATATAAATGTAATCAATTACTATGTAGATAGGTACACATTTTCATTCATCCAGAAGAGCAGCAGCCGTATATTTTTCAGGGCTTTCAAGCTTGGCCAAATGAACCGGTTCGCTCACAGCTGATCCTCAGAGCTACCAGTTCGCCCAAACCAGCCCGAACCAGCAGAATCCCACCCCTGCATACACGTGATAGACTTGTGCACACTCTGACAGAAGGTATTACGCTCTGTGGAGGGATCTTCTCCCATTCCCCTCATATTCTCCTCATACAGAAGAGGTAAAGAACCATCAAATCACCTGGATTTCATTTTGTCGTGGACGAAGAAAACGCGCTGTTCCTTCGCGTCTTCCCAGGTGAAATAGTCCTGTTCTTTTTCTTTCCCTTCAGCCAGGACTACCAGCCTGCCGTTGGTGGGAAGGGCCGCCGTGCGAAAGAGGAGGCCTTCTCCATAGCTCTCTAGGTTTTCTACTTCCAGCAAGGAACCATCTAGTAGTTTCAGCCCACCAATTCCTACCAAGAGGAGGCTCTTGGCCTTGAACCCAGGAGCAGGCCCAGAAGCTGAAACAAAAGAAAGAAAATTCATCAAAATTCACTCCTTTATTAATTGTTCTTGCACAACACTCCTTTCGTAACATATAAAGACACTGAACATCGTGCACCAGTGTGCAAAATCCATCAGAAGAAACTGATGGTTAACAGGAGTCCTGGAACGAATAGAATAGAATATTAACAGAATATAATATTAGAATAGAATAGAATATGAATAGAATATGAATAGAATATAATATGAATAGAACAGAATATGAATATGAATAGAATAGAATAGAATATTAGAATAGAATATAAATAGAATATGAATATGAATAGAATAGAATATGAATAGAATAGAATATGAATATGAATAGAATGGAATAGAATAGAATAACAGAGTTGGAAGGGACCTTGGAGGTCTTCTAGTCCAACCCCCTGCTCAGGCAGGAAACCCTATATCATTTCAGACAAATGACTGTCCAATCACTTCTTTAAAACCTGCAGTGTTGGAGAATTCACAACTTCTGGGTGCAAATTGTTCCACTGATTAAATGTTCTGTCAGGAAATTTCTTCTTGGTTGCTTCTCTCCTTATTTTTTTAACCTTTTAACCCTTACTTTTTTGTAATTTTGTATTATAAATACTCCTTGACTTACAACCATTCATTGAGCAACTGTTTGTAGTTACAACGGAAACTGGCTTTCCCCTTGACTTTGTTTATCAGAAGGTCACCAAGGGTGACCATGATCCTGGGATACTGCAATCGTCACAAATATGAGACAACTGCCATGGAGATGCTGCAAGGGTCATAAATATGAAAAACAGACATGTTTTCCAGTGCCGTTATAACTTTGAATGGTCACTAAATGAACTGTTGTAAGTCGAGGACTACCTGTAGGTGAAAAAGAGGATATCCAGAATCTCAAGAAGAAATTACTAGCAATTTAAAAATAGCCAGGATGCTTCAGGGAGAAATGAGGAAAAAATATAGAGAGAGGCATAATAAAACCAATGTTAGTGAAGACTGTCCTTTATTAGATCGATATTGTACTCTAAAGGTATATTCTGTTTAAAATGCTTTATGGTCTTAAATTCTCAGAGCTGTAGTTTGCAGGGCGGCAGAAAATTTCCTCTAAAATTTGTCCCCAGTGTGACACACGTAGAAAATATAACGCCAAGTTTCTTCGAACTGACAATACCCAATCTAATAAATCATCATGTGGTTGGGGGCACTTCAGCAAATGTTAGTGCGTGCACCCAGTCACCACGGATTACAAATCACGGTTCATCTCTTCGTGTTCTGCATGTATTCAAGCTTGAGGATTTATTCCAGGGGTCTCCAAACTTGGCTGTTTTCCAGATCGTGGACTTCAACTCCCAGAATTCCCCCAGCTAGCCATGCTGGCTAGGGAATTCTGGGAGTTGAAGTCCACAAGTCTTAAAGTGACAAAGTTTGGAGAGGGTTGATTCAACAAACCATGGTTGAGACAAACTGTAGTTCAGTATGTCTGTGGAGATTCTCAGTCATCCAGGTCATGAGTGTCCCAAAGGTGCTTTTTTTAAGGAGCCAACTGGACTTTCTGTTTTTTTCCTTTGAAGACGTTTCGTTTCTCACCCACCACTATGACTATTATTAAGTGTTGTACCTGATGATGCTCAACTCTTGACGAATGTATCTTTTCTTTTATGTACACTGAGAGCATTTGCACCCAGACAAATTCCTTGTATGTCCAATCACACTTGGCCAATAAATAATTCTAATCTAATCTAATCTAATCTAACCTAATCTAACCTAATAAGCTTCTTCAGCTCTGTAGTTCCGTGTGTAGCATGAACCAGTTTCCAACCTTGTAAAATCATTGTTTTTTATTGTTTTAAAACATGAGAAACTAGAGCTGAAGCTGATGATCCTATAAAGGGTGGCGGGGAAACTCACATTTGCACTGCCGATTTCGGGGGTCTTTGTAGATGCCGCGCCCGCAGTCAGCCACACAAAGGCCTTTCTGAAGAAATGTAGTGGAATTACAAACTCGGCACCTGGTGGAATCGTCACACTCCAAGCATCCCTCGGGGCAAGCTAGCATGAAAGCAAAAGCAAGATGCTATGAGAGGCATTTTTAACCGAGAAAACAAGGCCATTCTTATGTAACTCCTTTATTGGTAGTCAAGGGGAGTTAACTCTGAACACCTCATGCCTTTGACATCAGGCTTGCTGATGAAGGCTAATTTAAACAGCCGCCATATTTTACTTGCAAATTTCAATAACGTGAGGTGAACCAAGGCTCGGTCACTTGTGCCGTGGTCATCTCATGTCTGGACTAGTGCAATGGGCTCTATATGGGCTCACCTTTGAAGAGATTAGATTAGATTAAATTAGATTAGACTAGATTAGATTAGATTAACAGAGTTGGAAGGGATTTTGTAGTCCAAGCCCCCGCCCAAGCAGGAGACCCTACACCAAAGGTCTCCAAACTTGGCACCTTTAAGACTTGTGGACTTCAACTCCCAGAATTCCTCAGCCAGCAAAGCTGGGAGTTGAAGTCCATAAGTCTTAAACATGCGAAGTTTGAAGACGCTTGTCCTACACCATTTCTGAGAGATGGCAGTCCAATCTCCTCCTGAAAGCCTCCAGTGATGAAGCTCCCACTACTACTTCCAAAGGCAACTTCTGTCCAATGAGTTGACTGTTTTCACTGTCAGAAAATTTCTCCTCATTTCTAGGTGGCTGGTACAGAATACAGCTACGTGGGCAGTTCTAGGCACACACCGTAGCATGGCCTGCATAACAGTCCTGTTGTGTGAGCTGTACTGAGGCCCAGTTTGCTTCTGGGTGCCATTCAAAGTGTTGGTGATCTCTTTTAAAGCCCTTTGCACCATAGGTCCTGGTTACCTGAAGAACTACCTCACACTAATGGGTTTGGCTCACACCCACTCACTCTGGCACAAGGGGCACATGTGGACTCCATGAGTCAAGAAATTCCAGCTGGTGGGGTCCAGGAGTAGAGCCTTTTCTGCCATGGCCCTGTCCTCTGGAACATTTTGTCCTTCAAGGTGAGTTTGGTCCCTACCTACTTGGCTTCTGGAGGGGCGTTAAACTTTTAAACCAGACCTGAAGTTTCCAGATGCAGACATTCCATACAGGAGGTGGTTAGTGGGTTTCTACCAAAGTTTTTCCCGCAAAATTATTTTTTAAAAAGGAATTGGTTTTGTTTAAATGAAGTGCGATTGCTAGAATAATGATTTTGATCCAACGGTTGAAATCTCTGGTGTGTTCTTTGTCAACTCGTAAAGCATTCCTACGCCTGTTTTCGAGTTGCCATAAGCGGGGGGGGGGGGACCTGAAGGAACAGGAAGGCAATTAAAACCAGAAGTACATTCCATGCTTATCTTACAAAAATTGTAGCCTAGGCTACTGGATCTTCTGCCCCAAAAATCTTTCATTGGAGAATGTGATTGATGACACCCAGCCCGTGAACGTGCTTCATTGGAGAATATGATTTAGAACACACCCAGGGGAGAGGGGGGGGGAACAGAATCACAGGTGACCGTAAATTACGTGTGGCAGAGTTGGCTTCCATATGGATCAATGCCGACATGTTGCTCCTAATAAATCTTTTGAATTCCTTTGAAGTTTGGCTCGAGGCTCATGATTTAATTAGGGCAATCGCCGGAACCCTGACATTCTTCTTTTGCACTTTTAAAAATTGACCTAGATAGCTCTGGGCATCAAATATGTTTAAATATTCTAATTCAGAGGCTCCCAATCTTTTCTATACCCTGCACCCCTAGAATGCTTCTGATATATTCTCGTGCCCCTTAAAAAATAATTATATACATATAATTTTGAAACTTCTAAACCCAAGTTATCTCATACCCTAGAATATCATCTCATACCCCCAAGGGCATGCAAGCACCCCCAGTTTGGAACTCTTGTGCTAATTCCTTTACCTAGGCATATCTGCCCTCCATGGTCTCCGTAGTACCGCTTTCCACATGACAAGACGCACTGGGATTCCAGGAGCAAGAAGGGAGCCAGGCAGCGCACGCATTTCCCCGGCCCATCACACTGGAGACAGTGGTCATCGTCGCATCCTGAAAAGCCCCATAAGAAACTCAGGAAGGCATATTTCCCGACTTACATAGGATACAGCGACACATTCTATGCTTTTCTCACTCCTTAAGAAGCAGGACAGCAAACACAGTCAAATACTAGATGAAGAAAAGGTAAAGGTGAATGTCAGCATTCCAACTAACCAACCTCCAAGCCAATAAACTCTGAGACAAACGTTTTCTCAAAGTTCCATTTTATTAGAGTTGTCATATTGGGACTCTCAGATTCGGGTTTTCCCTTCCCAATAGAAAGTCAAAGATCCAACCCCTGCACCCACCAGTCCATCACATGGCCCAATCAAACTTTGTCCCAACTGGAGACATCCCTCCAGACACGCCCCTCCAGGTGCAGGGCAACATGTCCTTGAATGTTGATGTGTCTAATCTTCCACCTCTCCATGAAATCCCCCCTCCCAATTTCCCAGGCACTGAATTTATTTGATTTTTTATTTTATTTGGTTTGTCAACTGCTTACAAGATAATAGGTATAAGTAAAAACATAGTTATGAATACATGGATACATATAAGAAAAATAAAAGAAACAATAGGACGGGGACGATAGGCAAGTTGGTGCGCTTATGCACATCTCCTACAGACCTCTTAGGAAAGGGGTGAGGTCAATAGTAGACAGTCTAAGGTTAAAGTTTTTGGGGAAGAAACCACAGAGTCAGGTAGAGTATTCCAGACATTGACCACTGTTGCTGAAGTCGTATTTCCTGCAATCAAGTTTGGTGCGATTAACCTTGAGTTTGTATCTATTGTTTGCTCTTGTGTTGTTATGTTTGAAGCTGAAGTATTCATTGACAGGTAGGACATTGCAATGTATGATTTTATATACTAGACTTAGATCGGACCAAAGGCAGCATAGTTCTAGTTTTTCTAGGTCTAGAATTTCAAGTAAAACATGGCTTCCAAAGCTGACAATGAACTCAACTCCTGATGACAACAACCCTGATGGTGTCTTAGCAGCATTATGAAATCAACTGGCACTCCCATTTTCAAGAGGTTTCAAATTTCCAGTATCTCCCATTCAAATCCCAGTCAATGCCAATGTCATTTTTTGCCTCAGTCCCATTACAATTTTCCTTTGGGCTCACTAATTCTAAGAGTCTTGGTGCTCTCTGCGCTTGGTTGTCGAATCAAACTCAGAGAGCACCAAGGACTCCAGGGTTCAACCCATACGTACATTCTCTTCTGTAGGAATCACTTATTCCAGGCTTCCGAGATGCTCCCTGTTGGCATTTGAAGATGTTCCCGTGAGACATGCTCCATACAGAACCTAAGTGCCTTCTTACGCTATATATCATCCATGCCATCCTTCCCAAGCCTGTGTCTCCCAGATGTATTTTAGGAATAAAGCTTCAAGGAATTCCATCTAATATACTGGGTGGAAATATTAGGAATTGTCCTAAGACATTTGAAGGGAGGTAGATTTGAGAAAGTTGATAAGACTGGTTTCTCTGATTTATGTATATAAATTAGAAGTGGAAAGCAAACAGCAGTTTCGGTTGATGTCACGATGGAGATCAAGGGCACTCTTGGTTCTCCAATAGAGGAACATCCAACCCTTGGTTCAGTCTTGACCTGAGATGGAGTATCAGCCTGTTGCCTGAGGTAGGAGGACAATCCATTGCTCTCCCAACCATGCTGCTACATCTCATTGACTGCATTACCACACAACCTAAGGAGACGTATTTCATGATACATCACTTAGAGAATTCCCATATGAGCTTCAAGATGGCTTAGACAGCAACACCCTACTCTTGAGGGCCACATCTTTTGTAGCTCCTCCTCCAAATGACAGACTAGGAGAGCATCAAGTAAAGGCTTGGACACCCTTGCCTCAGGTACTTACTATGAGAGGCTGCTTCATTAGGCATAAGAGTTGAGCTGGTCCTTTGGAGACATTCCCTATCCAAAGATTACAGGTAGCCCTCAACTTACCACCACAATTGGTCCCAAAAATTTCTGTTGTTAAGTGAGACAGCGGTTCAGTGAATTTTACCCCATTGTATGACCTTTCTTGCCACAGTTGTTAAGTGAATCCCTGAGGCTGCTAAGTTAAGCAACATGGTTGTTAAGTGAATCTGGCTTCCTCATTGCTTGTCGGAAGGTCGGAAATCAGAAGGTCACATGATCATGCAGATCACGTGACCCCAGAATACTGCAACCAACATAAATATGAGTCGATTGGCAAATGCCTGAAATCTGACTGCGGGAATGCTGCAACAGTTGTAAGTATGAAAAATGATAAGTCTATTGTGGCCAATTGGCCACTGGCCCCTCCAGCAACCGAATCAGAGGAGGAGGAGGAGGTGTGGGAGTCAGGGTCACCCTCAAGGCAACCTGAGAGCTCCGAGGGGGGAGAGGAAATGGAGCTGGCAGAGAGAGAGAGAGACAGAGATGGAGCCTGGACCATCCGTCAGCCTTCAGATGGAGAGGCAACAGCTCCCCCAGGTCTGGAGGTGACTGATGAGGAAGAGGAGAAACAGCTGGGCCCAGTGCCTGACACACAGATGCCCAGAAGGCAGAGGAGAGGAGAGCAGTGGAAATCTATGGACCGGTCCTTGCGATGGAAGAGCCACCGCTGCTCGCAAAGCCCCACCCTAGATGTGGGGATAAAAGGCAGGGGGTGGAGATGAATAGGTGTGGCAGACAACTATTCATTTTCCTACCAGATGGACTTGTTAGCCTGCGGTGAGAGAGAAACTTTTTGCCAGGGCTGCCGGCGCTCCTAATAGAGGAATCTTTTGAGTTCACATCAGAGGGTTTGTCACGTTTGGGTTGCTGAGTCAGAACAAAATTGCTTTTTTTCAATGCCGTTGCAGACGGTCACTAAAAGAACTGTTGTAAATCAATGACTGTAGTGGATTTAAAAAAAAAACCCAGGCAACTGTTTGTTTTGATTTCTGACCTATGCCCTCTCAAGACGATCGCACAAAACGGTACCCTTAAGACCCCGGGGCCAAGCTATCGAGACTTACTTTGACATGTTTCAGATTCCCTGTAAAATGCCGGCAGACAATGCTCAACGCAGGCTCCCTGCTGGAGAAAATATCCCTCCATGCACTGCAGGCAATCCGTACGGTTGGGGCCGTGGCAAGCGTTGCAGCTCCAGTCGCACTCTGGAATCAGACAATAAAAAGAGAGCGTCCCGCACAGAGCCACCTTTATACCACCCCGGTTTCATCCATCACACCCGGTACCGTCTGCAGATGCACTGAAGGGCAAAGGAAGAACAGCCGAACAGATGTGAGACCCGGGAAGAGACGTCAAAAGGGATGGTCTTAAAATAACACAAATTCTTCCCTGGAGTTTCACCGTTTTCCCGATTATGTTAATACAAGCAGTCCAGATGAATGAGACACGATATCCGTCCTCCCTAGTGGCTAGAGTAGTGATCAGCCCACGTGGGCCGGCCCAGGGAAGCCATCGATTTTTTCTCTCTCAATGACGGAGGCCTGTGGGATTTCCGCCACAAACGCGGCTAATTAAGCAAGCCGGATTAACAAGGAAGGTGACATTGCCTCTGCAGTTCAAACATGGCTTTCAGGAAAGAAACTGGGGTGAAGTGGATCGTGGGAAGAGCACAAGGTTCATCTTTGTCTCGCCTTCATGAAATTAAGCAACCGAGTGGACAGGTGGTTAAGAATATATTTTTTTTAGGACAGTCAGGTACGGTTCCGTTCAAACAGATTGCACCTCCACAGCCATGTGTGGTCTACAACTCCACTTTCTGTAGCCTCCAGAGCAGCGTTTCTTAACCTTGATAATTTTAAGAAGTGTGAATTTCAACGCCCAGAATTCCCTAGCTAGCATGAGACTCTTTTAAGAGATGCGGATTTCAATTCTTAGAATTCAACTCCCAGAATTCCCCAGCCAGCATGAAACTCTTGTAAGAGGTCTGGATTTCAATTCCCAGAATTTCAATTCCCAGAACTCCCCAGCCAGCATGAGACTCTTTTAAGAGGTCTGGATTTCAATTCTCAGAATTCAATTCCTAGAATTCCCTAGCTAGCATAGGACTCTTAAGAGATGTGGATTTCTATTCCCAGAATTTCAATTCCTAGAATTCCCTAGCTAGCATGAGACTTTTTTAAGAGGTGTGGATTTTGACTCCCAGAATTCCCCAGCCATCATGATACTCATTTAAGAGGTGTGGAATTCTGGGAGTTGAAGTTCACACCTCTTAAAATTGTCAAAATTGAGAAACACTGCTCTAGAATTTCCACTGACTCTTCTGAATGAAATTAACAGGACCCTTTTCCAACTCATGACATAACCCTAAAATACAGGTAGTCCTCGACTTATGACCACAAACTGCTAAGCAAGACAGTTGTTAAGTGAGTCATGTCTGGTTTTATGTCCTTTTTTGCCGTGTTGGTTAAGCAAATCACAGCAGTTAAATGAATCGTGTGGGCATTAAAACAAATCTGGCCTCACCCATTGGCTTTGCATGCCGGAAGCCGGCTGGGAAGGTCACAGATGATGATCACATGACCCAGGGATGCTGCAACCATTGTAAATACATGCTGGTTGCCAAGCGCCCAAGTTTTGGTCACGTGACCAAATATTGCTGTGATGATTGAAAGCATGACAACCAGTTTTAAGGCGCTTCTTTCAGTGCCGTTGTAACTTTGAACAGTCACTAAAACGAATGGTTGAGGACTACCCATAACTTAAACAGCATCCAACTTTGGGGGGGTGGGATAAAGAAGGGGAATACAAATTCCACCTCTTGTCCACTCCAGACCTTCCTAGTTTCTACCTTGTTCCTTGCAATTTTCTGAGGCAGAAAATTCGTATAAAATAAAGAAACAGAGAAATTAAAAATGGCTTCCCACCACAAAAGAGGTTGCCTATAGAAAGTTTCCTTCTGTTTTCTTGGAGATAGCAGCTTGGTCAAGAGAAAACGGAGGAGGAGGAGGAGGAGGGGGGGGGGGGGGAGGGGGGGGGGGGAAAAGAAGAGGAGGAGGAGGAGGAGGAAGAGGAAGTGCTGGTAAAGGTTTTTAGAGCTTTTTGGAAGACAACATTAAAAATTATCTCTTTGATAAGAAGCTGTGATAAGCAGAAGTGCAGAGAAGTTATTTGGAGCTCTCTGCCAAATTCTCAGCATTTCACCTAGGACAGCTTATCTTAGCCCTTGCAACAATCAGTTGGAATGCCAATTCAACACTATTATTTTAACATCTGGTTAAATATTACTATCAGGATAACAACAATCCAATGCACTTTCTCTAGATGCAAAGAAGGACATTTATTGGACATTAAGGTAGAAGAAGATTGTCTGTGTGGATTCTCAATCATCCAGGTCGTAGTTGTTCCAAAAGTGATTTTCAAAAGGCAAACTTTTTTTTTTTTCCCTTGAAAACATTTCGCTTCTCATCCAAGAACCTTCTTCAGTTTTGGAAAAGGAGGTTGTTGGATGTGGAATTTAGATGAAAGCAAAAATAAGGAGTCCCTGAGATTCGGGCCTTGATCAATTTTTGACCCCTTGGCCTTGTTTTACATCTTCGACCGACTACAATGAATTCTAGATTCCCTTTTGTTCCAACATATTCATTTCCTGAGCTAGCAAATTTCACAAATAAAGAGGCCCTTATTAATCAGAGGTTCTGCTCCTTATTTTCATCGCGTGGCAATGTTAGCCTTGATTGTTAAAAAGGAATAAGATCAAGGTAGCTAATTATGAGATAAGTCATTAAAGAAGATGGAAAGAATTTCTCTTGGATAATATATTTATAATGCAATTTTGTTCGGGTCAGAAAAGGGCAAGACCCCAATCTTCTTCTGATAGTGGATTTTCTTTCTTGGAACATGACACCAGGACCTGGCTGGCTCTCTTGGTGGGTCTTCAAAGACCTCTACTGAAGGACACTTGCAACATTTGTAGAAAAAAAATATATGAAACAAGTTGAGTTTTAATCTATACAACCAGTTAACCCAGTTTGGTGTTGTGGTTACGGTGCTTTTCCTAGAAACCGGAAGACTGTGAGTTCTAGTCCTGTCTTAGGCATGAAAGCCAGCTGGGTATGTTTGGACCAATGACCAGGAGACAATGAGTTCTAGTCCCACTTAGGCATGAAAGGCGGTTGGTTGATTTTTGAGTCAATCACCAAAAGACTGTGGATTCTAATTCCGCCAATCACACTCTCTCAACCCAACTCACCTCACAGGGTTGTTGTTATGGGGGAGAAGAGGAGGAGGAAGGAGTATAAGGCATGTTCACTGCCTTGAGTTACATATAAAAGTAATAAAAATGGGATAAAAATCTAATAAATAAATGAACCAATTTTGAGGAGAGGAGAGGAATGGGGAAAGGAGAGTCAAATCGTAAAGCATTCCTATGCCTGTTTTCCAGTTGCCATAAGTAGGAGGAGGAGAAATCTGGAGGAGCAGTAAGGCAGTTAAAACCGGAAGTACATTCCACACTTATCTTACAAAGACTGTAGCCTAGACTACCGGATCTTCTGCCCCCAAAAAATCCTTCATTGGAGAATGTGATTGATGACACCCAGCCCGTGAAGGTGTTTCATTGGAGAATCTGATTTATGACACACCCGGGGGGGGGGGAGGTGGGGAAATAGGGTCACAGATGCCTGTAAATGATGTGTGGCAGAGTTGGTTTCATATGGGTCAATGCTGACATGTTGCTCCTAATAAATCTTTTGGATTCTTTTGAAGCTTGGCTCGAGGCTCATGATTTAATTAGAGCAATCCCTGGAACCCTGGCAAGGAGAGGAATGGGGAGAGGAGAGGAGAGAGGAGAGGAATGGGAAGAGGAGAGGGATGGGGAAAGGAGAGGAGGTAATTGAGGGATTTACAAAGTTAAATTCATTCATCATTCAAGTAACCATTGAGTAGAGCAAACAATAGCAAACCCTTGGCCAGAATTTACCCATGGCAGCAAGCATGTGTGGCTGTGAGTGTCATGTACAGGTAGTCCTTGACTCTATGTTTCTAAGCAATACAGTTGTTAAGTGAGTTTCGCCTTTTTTTTTCGATCTTTCTTGCCACCATCGTTAAGTGAATCACTGCAGGTGTTAAGTTAGTTGGGTTAGTTCAGTGAATCTGGCTTTCCCTGTTGACTTTGCTTGTCAGAAGGTCACAAAAGGGGATCACATGTCCCCCGGGACATTGCAACCGTCATATGAAAGTTGTCAAGCGTCTAAAATTTCATCATGTGACCATGGGGATGCTGCAACGGTCGTAAGTGTGAAAAACGCTCACAAATCACTTTTGTCAGTGCTGTTATAACTTCGAACGGTCACTACATTGTTGCAAGTCGATGACTACTTGTACGTAGGTGTGCATGGGCAGCCGCCAAGTGTTGTGGTTAGCCGACAGCAGGTGTGGAAGGCTGAGGAGAGCGAAGACTCAGATGAGGGGCCAGGACCATTAGGGAGTGGACTGCTGACTTCAGAGATTGTGGGGGCTGGCAGCAGCGATGAGGAGGTTCCCGAGGAGCCTGTGCTAAGTGTATGTGAGCGCAGGATTGCTCGGAGGAAGGAGCAGTTACAACAACACGGGCGACTCGGGAGTAAGGCTGCAAGGTAATGGCCCCTCCTTCAAGAAGATAAAAGCCAGCTGTGAAACTAACCTTCTTTGCAGAAGGCAAAGACGCTTTGAAACCCCAGCTTTGTGGACATTCCAGTATCCTGAGTTTGTATTTGAAGATTCTTATTTTGCAAATTATTTCTTATCTGTTATCTTTTTGGCAAGTCTTGCACAGTTTGGCAAGGCTTGTGCTTATCACAGCTAATTATTTTGTAACAGCACTATAAGGTTTTTGTCCTTTTTGAATTGTGTTTGATTTGTCGGAAAAGGGCGTGGGTCAGAACACCAAGCGGGAGACAGGACTGAAGAGAAAGGGCTTCAATATGGCAGGAGAGAGAGAGAGAGAGACAGGGAAGGGAAGAGAGCCCATAGATGGATTCAGGCAGACCACTGAAACGCCACTGTTACTCAGATTCAACACGGACATTTTGGGAATCCCCTTTACCTTTGCATGTCCTGGTAGACAAGTCAAGGAAATATTGCGATGGACATTTATCATACTGGCACTCTCCAAACAGTAAGACTTTGGATGGGTCTTTGCAAGAAGTACAGTGGGATCTCGAATCACAACTCAGACACGAATCACTGCAAGCTGGAGAGAAAGATAAAACACCAGGACTCATCAGATTTCACATTAAGAACTGAAGCTATAAGAGTTAAGAAGTAGAAGTTCCAAATCTCCATTTCAAAGTCTTTCTATGGGGACAAGTTGCAATACAGAGATGATTTTTTAAAAAAAACAACAACACCAAATTACCAAGCTACATGATATATAACACACTTTGGATAAGTCAAAGAATTATAAGAAGTAGAGGTGCACTATTTATATGAAGCCAAGTTTTTCATTTCGTTATTGACCAACATAGCATGGAGGACAGGCTTGGACCAAAACGTAACACAGCTTTAAATTTCATTCCTTGAGCAGGGAATGTGATTACCTTCCTGTGTAATAATAATACATTTCTTTTTGGGGGTACATGAAAAATGAAATTCTGGCAACTTTAAGACATGACATGTGGACTTCAACTCCCAGAATTCTCCAGCCAGCCATGCTGAGGAATTGTGGGAGTTGAAGTCGACAAGTGTTAAAAGTTGCCAAGATTGGGAAACCCTGGCCAGGACAGCCTAATCCAATCTGTCTAGGAGATATTTTAACAGGGAAGGCATCCATACTGATGATACTAAACTCCAACAACTTCCCCCAATAGTTTTACATAAATGTGAAATAGAGAGTTTGATGCGTCAAGCTCTCAGGCACCACACAACCGAGGGGCCGTAGATGTGGTTTCTCCCCTCGTTAACACCTGGATTGGAACAGACTCCTCAACGCTGACTGGAACACACTACTGAGGAATGAGATGAACCACTGATCCAGATTTCTTCCTGACATGCTAGATTTGCATCCACAAGGGAAGACTGACAGAGAGCCACATTTAAACATAAACACAACAGTGGATTTGAAGCAGTGCAGGTCTGAGTGTAGGAGATGACCAGGCTGAGCCCGAGGGAGGAGTCAAACATGTCATCAGTCGTGAATCTCTCCATGCCCACAAGAGATCTAAGTCCATCCCACCTCAAATTCCCTCGACTCTTTATCGACTGTTAATTTGTTTTGGCTGTTAGTAGTTCAGATTTTTGTAGAGAGCTTAAGTTCGCAATAAATCTTTATAACTATTTGAACTGACTGAAACTTCTGGTTTTTCTGACACTCAGAAATCTAGAGCAGATAGAATCCTGCAATACTTTAACATAGTCCCAGAGGTGCTTTTTCAAGAGGCAACTGGACTTTCTGGTTTTTCTTTGAAGGGATTTCCCACTTCTTATCCAAAAAGCTTCCCCAAACTTGGCAACTCTAAAAAAGTGTGGACTTCAACTCCCAGAATTCCTGGCTGGGAAAAACACATCTTAAACTTGCAAGGTTAAGAAACACAGCTTTAACAAATTAATTAACAGAATAGATCAAACAAAAATAGAGTGGTGCGGTGGTCTAGATATGGAGCTGTTGTCTCACAATCAGGAGGCTGTGAGCTCGATTCTAGGTAGAGGCTGATATTTTTCTCTCTGGGCAAAATGAGAATATATCTGTTGGAAAAAACTCTGCATTGGTGACAGGAAGGGCATCAGGCCAGTAAACACTCAGCTCCATTCAGTTGTCTATACTCCATCCCGCAAGGGATTATGGGGTTGTTAAAAGAAGACAATAGATCAAACAAGAATAAACATAGAAGCTCTTTTGAGTTAATACAGCTTCAAAGTGATCACAGTTAAAAACTAAACTTTCTTCTCTTCTAACTTTCTTTCTTTAAATTTAAGGACACAGAATTCCACGCTGCCTGCCCACTTCTCTCAATCAAATCCATCCTATAATATCGCTTGTATCTAATTTTCTATGCCATAGCATCTCATTCACTTTATCAATCCCAGAGAGTGTCACAAGGCTTAATTAATTAACAACTGTAACATTAAGAAGATATGTGGATTAACAGAGCGAAGAAACGGCTAATAATGAGATGCATTACCATTTACCAACTTCAAATATACCAGTGACATATTATTCAAAACGGCGGCTTCAATTGCTTCAAAAAGCAATATAAAATGTACAGTGTAAGCTACTTAGATTTGTCTGAGGTGCACGTTTACGAGAACCACTTTGATACAAATGTTTGGGATTCATTGCAAGCCTGATTTTGGCAGTCTCTTTTAATTGTACCTTTCTCAGCCTATGTCATGCCCTTGTTGGAGTCTGACTCTGAGGGGGAAAATTGAGGAGCTGTCAGGAAGTGGGAGTGTGGCTCTGGTAGCTGTGGAAGAAACAGGGGAAGAGCACAGTCCGGCTGGGCATTCAGAGGAAGCCCCAGGGCCATCCCCACTTCATCCTAGGGCATGCAGGGAGGACAGAGAAGGGAGCAACATGTCTTACGGGAGAGGAAAAGGCCCTGATCCCTTTTATTAGTTGCAGCTGAGAGAACAGGATATAACTGGGGCATTTTAAATAGCTCTTTGCTGGAAGCAAAGCGTGCTTTATCTTGGTCGAGGCTTATCTGGGTTTTGGCATCTTCCCAACTGTGCTTGCTGCGTTATCTTGTGGAATTCTGCAATTTATCATCCTGACCTGCCGTGTTAATGACTCCAGCGTGGTTTGTATTGGGTTTTTTATTTCTAATTATTTTTACTTTTGGTTTGGACTGCATTTACTCTCTTCCTAGTTTGTTTTTTGGAAGAGTTTGATAACAAATCGAGGATAATTGGACATTGAGGCCCAAGTTTGAGGCATTAAAGAGAATTTATTTTACTTTCGTGATTGTGTTATTTTTGTGTCACGCCCTCAGGGCATCACAGCCTATTGTACAAAGTACTACCCTAAAGGTTTTGATTAATGCCCACATCTTAATTTTAGTTGGATTTTTCTCCTTTCTGTTCTGTGGGAGTCAAAGTAATGACAATTTAACATGTCCTAAACATGGAAATGTCCTAGAGAAGTCATAATGCAATTTGCTCGGTTTGAAATAGTGTTATTGTATGAACTCAGCCATTGTAGCTTTTGATCCAGAATGTATAGCTTAGCGCAGTGTTCCTCAACCCATGGCAACTTTTAAGATATGTGGACTTCAGCTCCCAGAATGTGCCAGGTGGGGAATTCTGGGAGTTGAAGTCCACATGTCTTAAAAGTTGCCAAGGTTGAGAAATACTGGCTTGGTGCATTGACACAATGCTAATATTTGTGGCGTATCTAGCAAGCCATGTTTAGTAGGATTGCACGGATTAAGATGCACAAATATCACACAGACACGCAACAAATGATCTAATAACTTACAGATAGTCCTAAATTTGCAATCATTTATTTACTGTGTCTCCCTGAAAATAAGACCCTGTCTTATAATTTTTTTTGCCACCAAAAAAGGCACCAGGTCTTATTTTGGGGGGATGTCATCCCACTGACTAACCTCACTTGCGCGAATCATCCCTGGCCTCCTTTTCACTGTTAGAGGCCTTCAGGAACTTCTTCTGCAGCTGGCGAGGCTTTCCTGAAGGCCTCTGCAGCCGATAACAGAGCTCGGGATCGATCCGGAGCTTCGTTACCAGCTGCAGAGGCCTTCAGGAAAGCCTTGCCAGCCTTGCCAGCTGCAGTAGAAATGGGCCAGCAAGGCAGGTGTTGAAGTGTTGTGAGGCTTGGCTACAACTGTCCAAAGGTAAGTAGTAGGGCAGTTTCACTACCCCCAATCCCCACCCTAGCTTAATTTTATCCGTGCACTCTGGAATGGGTGGGATTTTAATTAGGGTTTATTTTGGAGGTAGGGCTTATATTGGGATCACATGTAAAAATCAAGCTAGGACTTACTTTCAGGGTAGGTCGTATTTTCAGGGAAGCAGGTAGAAACCATTCACAGTGAGTTGGCTGTGTTAAGTTGTCCTAAACACACACCCCTTCAGACTTCTCTAAAACACTGTCCCAAATAAAACTGAGAAACTGAGGCACAACCTACGTTTGCAGTGGAGGTTCTCATCCTGATAGAATCCCAGAGAACAGGCCGAGAGGCACAAGCCAGTGTGAGAAAGGACGAGGCTGGGGTCACAGGAAGTGCAGGAAAATGGGCCTTCTCCTGTACAGGTTTTACAGGAAGGATGACACTCTGGAAAGGAAGAAAGAGACAAACGCATTTAAAATGCAGGCTCTCAAACTCCATGCATAGGTAACAAGAAATGTGTTGGATTCGGAAACGAATGTTGCGATCTCCACTCAGCCTCGAAATCACGAGAACCATCCAGTCATGCCCCTGTTGGAATCTGATTCTGAGGGGGAGGTCGAAGCGCTGTAATTAGGGCGCAGGTCTGTAGCTTACTAGGTCTAGCCAAATCCCAGTGAGATTTAAATCCATTTTTCTTTTTACCAATTTGTTTTGCAGAGTTTAAATTTCCATGCCTGGACTTTTGGTAAAATATTCAGACATTTAAAGCCATAAGAAAAATAATTAACAACTGTGTGGCTAATTTAACAACCACAGTGATTCACTTAACAACTAACTGAAGCAAAAGAATTCATAAAATGGGGTAATATTTATTTATTTATTGTTTATTTATTTCTTTATTGTTTATTTATTTATTTAATATTGCTGCCTATTCGCTCATGGCGTCTCGAGGTGGCTTACACAAAAACTAACAAAAAGAATCAAATAAATTAGTAAAGTACAATAGAACAAAATTGGGAGGGCTAGGGGAACACCCCAACTCCCACCCACACTGCCCCGATATGGTATTTTTATCATTTGTAAACTGTCTATAGTAGCCATGACCAAGTAGATAGATGGCTATATAAATTGTATGAATGAATGAATGAATGAATGAATGAATGAATGAATGAATGAATGAACGAACGAACAACTGTCTCACTTAGTAATAGAAATGCTGGACTCCATTATGGTCATAGGTCAAGGACTATCTGTACATCCCTGTGTGCCATTAACTTGCTCCCTTAGAAGGTAGAACACAAAATCTATCAACAATAACAATTATTGTTATTACAGAATAGACAGCCAATTCTGTCTGGCTCTGCTTCTATTCTCCTTAACACTATCTTGGGTTAACTGGATAATTATTAATTACAGTTTCACCCAATACATTATGTAGTTTCTGCCCAATCGGTGATTACAAATGTCTCAATTCACTCTATCATCTCTGCTGGCAGTGAGAATAAGAACAGAGGAAAGGATAATGCAGCTTTCAGATTCTCAATTATCTTCCTTTAAAATGCTGCCAATTTCCCCAGGTGTTTGCTTGGATCCTGCCTGAATGAAAAGCATGTTTATTTATTTACTTATTTTTATCCTGCCTTTCTTATTTTTAGAAATAACTCAAGGCGGTGAACATACCTAATAATCTTTCCTCCTGTTATACGGGTAGTCCTCAAATTACGACCGTAATGGAACTCCACAATTATGGTTGTAAGAAGTGAGGGTTACAAAGAGGGCCATCATGTAACCAGACTTGATTTTGCAACCTTTTTAGTTTAGTTTAGTTTAATTTAGTTTAGTTTATTATCATTGCACCTCGTACAACGAAACCAAACACCATCTTCAGTGCACATCATGACCATGAAAATAAACACAAACACACATCCTTCACCCTCCACACATTGAACCGAAAACCCCTGACACTGCACCAATACTGCACTATACAGTAGAATTCAACAGAGCTACTGCCCTGGGATAAAAGCTGTTTTTCAGCCTATTTGTCCTTGTTTTTATTATTCTGTACCATCCGCCAGATGGTAGTTGTTCAAAAAAAAGGGTGCCCAGGATGAGATGGATCTTTGAGAATATTTTGAACTTTCTTAAGGCATCAGGAGCTCTAAAGCTCTTCCAAAGAGGGGAGAGGGCAACCCATGATCCTCAGGGCAATGACGTTAACCTTCTGGAGCGCTGTCCTATCTGCCCATGTGTAATTGGTAAGCCATACAGAGGTGCAGGAAGTTAAGATACTGTCTATGGTGCAGCGGTAGAAGGTCATCAGCAACTTTTCATTCAGTTGTTGTTTTCTGTTTCCTTTTCTTTTTTCTTTTTGCAGTGTTCGCTAAGCAAACATAGCTGTCGTAAATCAAATGCTGCAGTCATTAAGTGAACTCAGCGGTGTCTATGAGGCAGTGTTTGCTGGAAACTGGAAATAAATTTCCAGGCAAAATGTTATAAATCGTAGTCATGTGGCTGCAGGGCGCTGCAAGCAACCATAAATGTGGTCATGTGATCTGGGCAGGGCTGATGTCGGAACTTCAAATCTGTGTTGTAAGTAGCTTTGGAGGGGGGGCTTGTCATAACTTTGAACGGTCGCTAAATGGCCAGTTGTAAGTCGAGGACACCCTGTTGAGTACTACCCATCACTCCGATGCAACCATTCATACATGAAAGGTGTGATCTTCAGCCCAAATTTTTCCAATTTAATTCCCTCTAGCTGTGTTGCGACTACAGGGTCCAGAATTCCCAGTCAACGTGGCTCAAGAAAAACATTCAGTGGGCTATAGCTAATAAAAACAGAAGTTAGAAACACGTAGATGAAAGAAAAGGACATGATATAAGGGAGGTTTGTTAAAATGGATAAGCAACTATTATTAGTGTTATTATTATAGAACTAAGGTAATTCATTACCAAGGTAATGAATATTGTTGTAAACATTTTGATTATTGTTGCCTAAAAATATTTGTACCCAGCCAACAGTTTAACTAAAAATGGAATCTTTATATGTTATAAAATAAAATAAAAAACGATTTAAAAAAAACATTCTGTGGGCTGCAGACCCCAATGCAGGGCTCAGATTGTGGCTGGAACAGTTCAACTGGAGGTCACTGAATGGGTTAACAGGAATGCAAAGAATGTAAACTGTCAGTAGATGTGCTGAGAGCCAGAGATAAGAGGAAGTCTTGGAAGAGGAAAGTCACCTCTTTATATTTATTTATTTGCATCCTGCCATTATTATTTTAAAAATAACTCAAGGCAACAAATGTATCTGACATACTTTCCTCTACTATTTTCCCCAAAACAGCAACCCTGTGAGGTGAATTTGACTGAGAGAAAATGATTGTCCCAAAGACACCCAGCTGGCTTTCATGCCTACGGCAGGACTAGAACTCACAGTCTCCTGGTGATTGGCTCAATCACCCAGCTGGCTTTCATGCCTAAGGTGGGACTAGAACTCACCGCTTCCTGGTGATTGACCCAAAGTCACCTGGTTTTTATGCCTAAAGCGGGATTAGAACTCAACGCTTCCTGGTGATTGGCCCAAAATTACCTGGCTTTCATGCCTAAGGTGGGTCTAGAACTCACCGCTTCCTGGTGATTGGCCCAAAGTCATCTGGCTTTCAAGCCTACGGTAGAACTAGAACACTGGTTTCCAGGCAGGTGCCTTTATCACTAGACCAAACTGACTCTCTTATATTCCTGGAATATAATAAAGACAGTACAGTATATCCAGCTAAATTTGTCCTTGAATTATTGCATGAGTGCCACGTTGGGTAAAGCTGTTCAAATCTCTTGATTTAACAGTTGATATGCGTTCATTTCTCAGGAGAATTTGCTCACCTTTTTGCGATGCAGAAAAACAATATCCTTAATTGTTTTGGAAGGGAAAAATAACATTTAACCCTTGATAATACTTTCTACCTTACTGTGAATCCTACTTTATTGGGATTTATCCAGGAATGGAAATCATCCGCCATCCTCTGCAGCGATTGAGAAAGTGATGCAATAAACTAACAGCACATCATAAATGACTAACAAATTAATATTATTGAACACCTGGCCCATCCAGATGTTGATGGACTCTAATCCTCTCCACCTTCCCAGCCAGCAATATCCACTGATATTAATATCAATTAATGGCAGTCGCTATCAAATACATTGGAAGAACACCAGGCGATGGAGGAGGAATCAGCGTAATTAGATGCACAACCGATAGAAGAAAATCATTAGAGACAGCTTTAAAATAACATTTACATCAATATCAATTCATCGTGATGATTATATACACAATCCAGAGGGTGGATGGTTCTGGATATCCGTCACTTGAGAATGTGAGGATGTCTTTCTATCTAGCTTTTGAAAGTCTCTTGAAATTCCACAGAGAGTCAGTTTGGTCTAGTGATAAAGGCATCTGCCTTGAAATTCCACAGGCTTTTGATTTGACCTACCACAGCAATATTTTTTATGTCCCTATGAATAATCTTATCACTAACGCTTCATATACAAGCAGATGCCACAGGTTGGGGAAAAAAAATTTATCTGATGGGAAATTAATTGGCATGTTCAATCTGTTGATTGCTAGTGCCTCTGTTTTCTCAAGCATTACTCACTCTGGCACGCTCCTCCCAGTTGGTAAAATCCCGCGGGGCAGTCTGTCACGCAGTGGTCCTTCAGAAGCAGGTGATGGCCATTGCGGCACCTGAGACAGGTGCTTCCTTGGTCTGTGTGGAGATCTGCCACACACAACTCACAGAGAGGATGGCAACCTGTTCGTAGAGGGCAGAAAGTTTGGTACAGTTCATAACAAATCAGCTTTCTTAACGGTCAAAACAGAAATATCAAGGTATAAGTGTGACCTTCCTTCCTTCCTTCCTTCCTTCCTTCCTTCCTTCTCTCTTTTTTTTCAGTGTCGTCGTAACTTTGAATGGTCTCTATAAGTAGACCACCTATATTATTGTTTGGTGCTGCTTTTTGATAACTGCCAATTTGCAAAGCAAGTAAAAGCAGCATCTACAAATGCAAAAACGCATCCTAAAATCATCAAGGTATAAGTGTGACTGACCTTCCTTCCTTCCATTTTTCTTTTCTCTCTCTTTCTTTCTCTCTTTTCTTTCTTTCTTTCTTTCTTTCTTTCTTTCTTTCTTTCTTTCTTT